AATAAAGTACTTAAAAGTTAAATAAATAGACAGCAAAAAAGTTTGGAAAATAAAGATTGTAAAGAGATTTGTTAAACAATTGAATTGGCAAATTTAAATGAAAACAGCGAAAATAGGGAAAACTCTCTGGGGGTTTCCCTATGATATAGAATTTACTATTTGCATTTAATTCATTAAAATCTAAAATCGAGTTTGACTTTTGTTTTTCTTTGCAGATTATTCAACTAACAAGCCAGGGGATCATCGTTGGCGGCGTAGCCAGCGACGGATCAGAGTCAATTGGTGGCATAGGAGCAGGAGCAGGAGCAGGAGAAGGAGGAGGAGGTGCTGGTGTGGGCAGTGGGAGTCCACAGCACAAGTTGCTGGGCATTGGGGATAGTACGAGCGGCGCTGGCGCCGTCAAACTGCGCAAGCACAGCGAACGTTCGACGCCGGACGCCAAGACGCACGCCTCCTATCGCATCTCCATGGCCAATCTGGAGGATACACAAGAGTCCGAACTGGATCTGATACTCGGCGAGCTGAGCTTGCTCGAGGCGCAGATTAGCTACGGCGAGGCGAGCTTTCTGCCTGGCGTGGCAGCTGGCCAAGCGCCAGGCGCTGTACAAGGCGGTGCAGGTGGTGCAGGTGTTGCCTCACCGCCGCCACCGCCGCCGCCGGCATTGGCCTCCGTTTCAGCGGCCTCGTCGCGCACACACTCACGCACAAATAGCAGCATATCTGGGGATGTTAGCACCACATCGTCCTCGTCGGGCATATCCGAGAATGGCAATGGGAGTGGTGGCATGGCCGGTGGTGCCGGTGGCGTTGTCATCGGCGGACTCTCCACTGGCCACATGACCATGGGAATCACGCTGGGCGTTGTCACGCCCCGTGAGCCACGCACCGAGTCGCCCGACAATGATTCGGCCTTCAGTGACACCGTTTCGCTGCTCTCCAGCGAGTCGTCCGCCTCGTCCAACACCTCGATGCAGCAGCAACAGCAACAACAGCAGCAGCAGCAGCAGCAACAGTTGCTGCTGCAACAACAGAAACTACACCTGCAGCAGCAGCAGCAGCTGCATCAGCATCCGCTGCAGTCCTCGACGAAGGCGGCCAAGATTCAGCTGGCCCTGCACAAGCTGGAGAGCGCGCCCATCCGGCGCCTCTTCGTGAAGGCCTTCACCTCGGACGGGGCATCCAAGTCGCTGCTGGTGGATGAGCGCATGGGCTGCGGCCTTGTGACGCGCCTGCTCGCGGACAAGAATCATGTCCAGATGCAGCCCACGTGGGCGCTGATTGAGCACCTGGGCGACCTGCAAATGGGTAAGCTTGAAGGCGAGCTGAGGTGATATATCCCATCTCTCTCTCTCTCTCTCTCTTTCTCTCTCTCTCTTTCCTCCTGCTCCCTCAATGAAGATCTCGATGAATAACATATTTCCCTTCCGTAGAGCGCCTGTTTGAGGATCATGAACTACTGGTGGATAATCTGATGACGTGGAACTCGGATGCGGGCAATCGCGTGCTCTTCCAGCAGCGGCCGGACAAGGTGGCGCTATATCAGCGGCCGGAGCTGTATTTGCCGGGGCCACAGATGGCGCCGGGCTGCCAGCACGACGAGCAGACGCGTCACATGCTGCTGGAGGAGTTCTTTGAGACGCAGGCCCAGCTGCAGCTGGACGGGCCGCTCTACATGAAGGCCGATCCGAAGAAGGCCTGGAAGCGTCATCATTTCGTCCTGCGCCCCTCCGGCCTCTACTACTTCCCCAAGGAGAAGACGAAGAACACGCGCGATCTCGCCTGCCTGACCGTCTTCAGCGGCCACAACGTCTACACGGGCATCAATTGGCGCAAGAAGTATAAATCGCCAACGGATTACACGTTCGGCTTCAAGGCCGCCAACGACTCGTCGCTGGGCAAGTCGTGCCGTTCCCTGAAAATGCTGTGCGCCGAGGATGGGGCCACGCTGGATCGCTGGCTGACGGCCATACGGATCTGTAAATATGGCAAGCAGCTGTGGCACAGCCACAAGCTGCTCATGGAGGAGCTGTGCTCGGGCAGCGCTGGCGCCACTGCGTCCGGCGTTGGCGTTGGCGGCAGCTTTGCCGCCTCGATGCGCAGCGAGTCGATAAGCAGCATCTCGTCGGCGGTGCCATCGCAATGTGGCAGCGTCTCATCGGCCATTAGCAGCATGTCGAACTCGAGCAGCGGCCGCATCTCGCGCGCCTCCAGCTCCAGCTCCAGCGGCTGCCTGTCGGATGAGAACAATGCCTTCGACTCGGAGTTCACGACCGGCACCATAAAGCGCAAGCCCTCCATGAAGCCCAATCTGCCGCTAACGACAATGACGCGCCAGCTGAAGGAGGTGGGCGAAATCACGACCGGACCAGTTGCCGTGGCCACGGCAGCAGCTGGCGTCGGGGGTGGCGGCGGTGTTGGCGACTCGGGTGCCTCGCCAGAGCGCAGCGGCACGCTGACCCGCCGGCACAGCCGTCGCAAATCGCAGGAGAGCAACGGCAGCAGCGGTGGCACGCTGAAGCGTCGCCCGGTGGTGCCGGTGAATGCGTCTGTGAAGCGGGATGTGATTGCATCCGTGTCGGGGTCAATGGCAAACGATGGCAATTCGTCGTCGTCATCGAATTCGACGCCGACGCCAACGCCCAGCATTTGTGCCAAGCCGCCGCCCGGACTGAGCGATGTGGAGCTGATGTGCTCATCGACGTTGTCGCTGGACTCGCTGCCGCCACCGCCGCCGCCCGAGGAGGTGCTCGCCTATGCGGAGCCCACCTCACCACTGACGCCCACGCCCATGTCCATGGCCATGGCCATGTCGATGGGCATGGTCATGCCCAATAGCAATGGCACACTGCCGCCGGCGGTGCCCGCCAAGCCCATCAAGCCAGCTGTGAAGCAGACGCTGAAGGCAGCGCCGCCCTACAAGGCGCCGCCCGACTACGTGGGACCAGCGGCGGCCCAGTTGCCGCCGCCGCCGCCGCCCGTTCAGAAGAAGGTCTCCTTTGCCGACTCGCCGGTGCTGCTGCGGCGCAAGATGTGCTCCCCGGAGCCGCAGCTGCCCCTACGCTCGCCGAGCACAACGCTCAGCAGCGGCTCGGGCAGCAGCATTGGCTATCCGTCGCAGTCGCAGCCGATTTACTCGCCCGGTCCGCTGCTGCCGCCGCGCAGTGATCTGTCCCGGCTGTCCGGCTGCAGTCAGAATGGCAGCGATGTGGTCACATCGCCGAAGCGCCTGCAAGAGTCTGCCTCGAATCCGCCGCGTGACTTCCTCAAGGATCTGCAGCGCGTGATGCGCAAGAAGTGGCAGGTGGCCCAGAAGTGCAAACTGGAGCCGGCGACCACGCCGCACGAGGTGCTCGGCTTCCGTGACTTCAACAATGAGGATCTCCTGGCGGCCCACAATTTGAACTCGGGCGCCAACAGCTCGCACTACTATCGCGAGACGGCGAACGTGAGCCACTGGGTGCAGGAGCACTACGAGTATGCGCACAATGAGTACGCGCTCTACGAGAACGTTCATGCCCAGAGCAATGGGGCGGCAACAACGGCGATGGGCGGTGCTGGCGCAACTATGGTGGATGCAGCTGGGCCGCCGCCAGTGCCGCCGCCAGCCGCTGTGGCCGATGCAGCTGCGGCGCTGCGCAAAAAGCGTCCGCCGCCGCCGCCGCCAAAACGCAGTGATTCGACGCATCTAACGCATCGTGTCTAGAGTTATAGCGCCAAGGCAGTGAGTAGAGGCATCTTTAGCTGCATTCGGAGCCAAACTAACATCACTCTCTCTCTCTCTCTCTCTCTCTCTCTCTGCAGCTGTCTACTATTGGCGTCGCAATGATCCTGCAACAACAACAGCAACAACAATTTCTACGTGTCTAAACTTAAGTGCAAAAACAAATTCCTAACTATGAGCAAGAGAGAAACGAAAAGAACCCTAAAATACTAGTGCATAAGTCTGGGGGGGCGGCGACACGCCCACTTCTCAAGTATTATATTCAGTTGAGCTTGTTAAATTATTATTTTCCCGTGTGTGTGTGTGCGGCAAAACTCTCGCTCGAAATGTTTATAAATTTACAAACCATATATACATATATGCATATATACATACATACATATATACACTGCCCTAATTGTTATATCAAATTGAAAGCAAAATCTATTTTTATTTTAATACTATTATTTCATAAATTATACATTTAATTGTGCCCAATGCTTAGCGTTAATCAATGAGCATTACTTTTATAGAATACATTTAGTTTATATCAATATTGTTATTCTTATTTTTTGTTATTTTAAAATTGATCTTTATGATTTTTTTTTTGTATTT